CAGGGGTTTTTGAGTGTTGCTAGATTTTTACCTCTTGATGTAGGTGTTGGTTTTGTAGGGGCATGCATTTTAGGTGAAATGGAGGTATGTGTTAACACACAGTGTTGTAAAAAGCCTTAAGTTAAGTAACCTTAAGTTTTTCATAACATTAAATAAAATTAAATAGTAATAAAGGAGAAAAAAATTATCCGGATATACATGACTATGTGAAAAGGTTATTACCTCCATGTTAATGCAACAAAAATGTATTTTTTCCCCCTAAGTTCACTTTTTCTAGCATTATCCAGGCAGAATTACTGCAACAACTATTACCTATAAATAAATGGTTTCAATAGGAGCTGCCAGACAAACTGAAGTACACAATAATATGCTTAAAAGCTAGACCTTATGTCAAGACCCACAGAACTTCAGGAAAAAATAAAGTAATTAAGCATCACTTTGAAAGGGGGTCACACAGATATTTCCAAAGTATTGGGACTCAACTGAACAGCAGTGAAAGCCATTATCCATAAATATTAAAAACAAATTTACTCAAAGACCACAGAGATGACTAATCTAAGAGGTAAGTAAAGACCTCGAACCTATATCCAAAGAGGTGCGGGTCTTCACCAAAAGAAAGAAACTGGGCAAAAATGGCTGCTTGGATAAAACCACATTATTATTCAAAGACTTTCTAAGGTGTGTGCCCCAGTGATGTATAAAGAAAACTATAATGCAGAAACAAACATTATACTAAAAGTCAAATAAAGTGGTGGAAGTGTGATGGACTGGAGCTCTATTTCTGCTTCAGGATGTAACACCTGCTGTAAAAAAAATAGTTCTGTAAAAATAACTGTCTAACAAAAGATCCTGAAGGAGTATGTCTGGCCATCTCTTGTGACCTCAAGCTGAAATGAGCTTAGGGTAAACAGCCAGTGAATGGCTGAAGAAAAACTAAATGAAAACTTGGAGGAACCTAGTCTGGAACTGAATCCTATTGAGAAGCCGTGGCCTTAAAAAGGTAGTGCATGATCAAAACCCCTCCAATGTGGCTGAAAAGCAACTATGCTGAGAAGACGAGAGGGCCAAAGACACCTATACAGAAATGCAAATCAGTCATTGCAAAAACTATCGCAAACACTTGACTGTGGTTGTCGCAGTTATGGATAACCGAACCCATCATTAGCCCTTACTTTTTTTACACAGGGCCATGAAGGTATGGATTATCTATTTATCTTTTTAATAAAAAGCATAATTTGCATTTACTTGAGTTGTCTTTGACTAATTTGAATTTGTTTGATGTTATGAAACACTCAAGATTGACAACATGCAAAAACATAAGAAATCAGGAAGGAGGAAAGACTCTACAACAGCCTGTATTGCCTTTGCATTCTTATAAAGTATTGTCCTTTTACATTGCAATGTTTAAGTGGATAAACTGCAGGAGCTACTATGATGGCAGCTATTATTAAAAGCAAGTAAATATCATAAACAGACAGATTTAATATCCTTCTTGTAGAGATGTGCAAAGATTATTCGAACAAATTGATTTCTTTTTCATTGCTGTGGTGTAATTCCACGCCGAAGTATTAAAATTGATTCAGGGAGGAGGAAATGCAGTGTTGATAAACCTTTTGAGAAAATAACAGATGGCACAATTGCTGGCATCCCTGTGCATCTTAACATTTATCCTGAAACTCCAATAAGATTTTAAAATCTTTAGATTTACCGTCAGCTGACTAAGTTTGATTCAAAGAAAAATCTGATCTTGATTACAATAATGTGATTGTGTTGGAAAGCAGAGACACTTGCAAACCTTTAGATTACTTAAAATATGAACTTCTGTAAGTTTTATTTGATTATTTTCTGCATTGCAACTCAGACTTGCTTGGCTTATACAAGGGAACGAGCCACAATAATTGCATATAGACCTATTTCTTACAGCGCTTATGAGAATAAAGCCTTTTTAATCCTAGTTAATCATCACTTTAATGATATGGGATTTACATTTAGTTTTTACATAATAACTATACATGTTAAAAGGAAGTTTGTGCATTTTAGTGTATAGTTATGCTTCCTGTCATAAAAAGCCCCCAAAAAACATTAGGTGAGCTGATGAGATATTTTCCAGTTTAAACTAAATTTTAAAATCATATAAACTTTAACTCCTCATAATCTAAAACACTGTATATTTATTAGGCTTCCCAAAATCCTGGTGTTACTAATGCACAGAGTAAGTCTGCTGCATGTAGAGAAGGACACAGTGTGCGCCTCCTGCAGCTAAAGGGGACACATACTTAATTCAGCCAAAGGAGAGAGCTACATCAGGACCAGGACAGATTATCTTATACTTATTTTCATCTGTTTGACTCTGCTTTTTTTTAAAGCACTGGACATAAATTATCTTAACTGCCAGTCAAAGGATGAATATGTTCAAGATAATTCTCAATCTTTCTCATATCCAAAGAAAAGTTTATAGGATTTCTGCCATCAGAAAGTACCCCAGTCATCTAATGATGCAAAATCTTGCAGGTAAATCCTCATTTCCTCTTTCTTTCTCCATTATTTCAGCTTCATGCTGCCTAAACATCCACAGAGCTCATTTCAAAATCCATGTGACCTCACCTGTTTTTCTCTAAAAACCATCTCCTTCTCGTGTTTTTTCTTCATTCTTTTAACTCTACACCTCCTGTGACAGCCTTTGATTAAAGCTGTAGCAGCAGCAGGAATAAATTCCCCAAAGTCTGTGTCTACCACCTTCCTGTATTTCCATTGCTTCCCCTGTAGTTTAACTGGCTGATCACTGCAGCGTCACAGACTGGGGAGCTCAATGCTATTAAAAATATCACAGCACCTACACATTGCAATTAAATGGTGGAACCCCAGGGACAAACGTAAATGAGTGTTTTTCTTTTTTTAAAGAAAGAGCCGACATGAGGTGAATATGAATGCAGGGGAGAGACAAGAGAACAAGGCTTCGCCTCTGCAAAAGCTCTTATTAAACACCTAAATGACAGCTGAGGTTAGAGAGATGTGCAAAGGTCCAACAGAACTTCCTTTTTATCTCTTATATAATATTATTAGGCTCCTTCCATTTTACCTCTGTGCTTACATATGCATAAGCAAATGCAGGATTGCTTGCATTCCTAACAAAGCATTCAAATGGCAGTTCCTCAGGTCAGAATAGAAATGGTTTCTCCTGGAATAATCAACAAAATTAACTTGAACTGAACTTGACTGATATTATTATGACAATCTTATTACATCAATTTTAAAGGAACAGGACACTAATACTATATGTTATTTAAAAATCTAAATGTTTTTATTCATTTGTGTTATTGTGTATAATTTCCCTATCATTCTGTCTTTCATTGGTGGAACTCTGTTCTTGCTGCCCATTTGGCCAAGATAATAAAAATCGATCTGTGTGTAACTATATACAATGGCTGCTTTAGGCTAATGCTAACATGCTAGAATATATGCAAGCTCTCTGGGGGCATATATATATATATATATATATATGAATAATATGTGGTAAATAAGCAGGGTATGGATTGCAAAATATTTGACCAACCCAAACAAGGATATCTGGCCTAAAGATAGATTTGTAGTCAATGTAATCAAAAGAAAAAAAAAGAAGTTAATTAAGTTAATAAAATGAATGATCTCGTCTTTGATAAATTGGTCCATAACTTAGGTGGATTAGGGGTTTGCCTTCTTTAAAATCACCGGTTAGCTGGTCATAGCTAATGCTTAGCATCTTACTAATTTTTACTTCCTAATACTGATTTCCTCAGTTGTTTGCCCGCAATGTTTGGTATGTCTCTTTACCACATCTTCATATCTACAAGACACAAGTTTCTGCATCTTTGTGTGACTTGATTTGAGTCAGGGACAGTCGCTGAAGTCTCACAAGCGCTCCTTTCCTGTCAGCCAATGATGCACCGAGTAGAGCAATATAACGCCTCTTAGAGTCCAGCTGTTTTTGGTTAAGACCATGCGGGCTGTTTTGCTTTGCGGCCAATGAAATAAGGTTTCAAATAAGGGTAGACATGGCTGGGTTGCATAAAGCAGAGCCGTGTTATCGGCTTGCATAAGGAGTGACAAAACAGCTGAGAGTGGATTAATGCGTGCAGCTCCAAGCTGTGTCATAACAACTTTTTTTTTTGGACGCCGATTTTGTTTTATTACAATGCCTAAGGCTGGAAAAAAAAAAAATATATACTGCTCAGAAAAGGCGCTGGGGCTTATTTTAGCTTGAAAAGTAACAGTTTCACTATATTTTATAGATTTTTTTACTATTGCAGGTTTATAAACCTAACATTTTGTTATTTACACTGATTCTGGAAAAAAGTGGAAAATAATTGCCTCATAAATGTTTTGTTGACATCAAAATGCTTCAATGTTATTCTATTGGTCAAATAGTTGAGTAAAAGCATTTGGCACAATCTGGCACTTTTGGAGAGAGGTTTTAATGAGGTCCTGCTTTTAGCTTTGGTGGCCTGGAGTTGGAAGGAGGCTAAAGCTGCTTCATACGTAGAGTTTAGTAAATCTAAATGTTTCTTATTTGTTTAGTAGAACAGATTCTACATTCTACAGGTTCTTCATCCTTATGGACTGCAGTTGGCTAATGCTAAACTGTTATCTGCATACAGTTATTTCCAAATCTAATCTTTATTTACTTCAGATAAAACACATTCATCGCTGAACTTATTTAAAGAAAATGTAAATATAATTTCTGTTCCTTCTAGGAAGTATGGGCGTACTTTTAGACAGGTTGACACTTTCTCAAAATACAAACCAAGTTAAATTTTCTCCTTTGGACTCCTGAAAACTTTAGAGTGATTTCCAGAGATGAAATGGTTGGGCATAAACACACACCAGCCAGATGGAGGAGCGATTGAAAAGAGGGGAAGTTGAAGGCAATGACAGAAAAACAAAAACAGACATGTTCCCAGCTGTACACTGCAGCACCTTTGCTCACCGAATAAAGAAGAAAAGAACAGGAAAGTAAGACTCACCTCCTTGCTTGCTCCTGTCAAGATAGATGGAAACCCTTCTGGCCAGACCTGCGAGCGGGTAAGGGTGGGGGAGAGGAGGGTGGGGGAGAGCAGGAACGCAACAAAGCCAGCAACATTTTAGAAAGAACCCCTTTGCATGCTGACCCAAAGAGTTGCATACATTTTTAAAAGAGCCGTTAAACTCGTGACATGATGAATGGAAATCATCACCTCATGAGTATTCGTCCACATGCATTCAGCAGAGAGATGAACAAGGCAGCTGCTTTCAAAGCAGCTTTTATGCAACTGGATCTGCATCCTAAACAAAGACTGACCCCCAACGTCTAAACCTGCAGGGTCTAAAGTTCTGACTCGGCCTTCATCGAAGGGGAAAAAAAAAAACATCCAACAGAGTGGAGCGGCTGCAAGACTAGACGTCTACTGTTCCATGCAAAAATCATATCCCTCTGAAGCTTTTAACATTTTATTAGTTTGCAACCACATACTTTCAGCTATATTATTGGACTTTAATGTGCCAGTATTGTGAAGTGAAAGGGGAGTTATTTATGGTTTTAAATTCTTCTCCAATAAAAATCTGTTCAAAACCTCAGTTCAAAGGTAGATGGTCCAGTTATATGACATTTGTATAATGTAGGTGCCAATATCTCACTCTTATCGCAATGTTTTTCTGAAAGATGACCACCTCCTGCTGGAGCAATATTTATAAGTTTTGTTTTTGCCCAGTTTTTTTTTATAAAATAAAGTCCTGTATAATTGCAATAACAATGGGGTATGACACTGAGCATGTGCCCAGGGAGTAGTCAAAGGAATAATCAGCTACAGCTGGGAATACACCTACGATTTTTGCCCTTTTTGAGGTTTATCAGCATTAGATGTTAACAGGGAATTTTACAATCGATCATCCAAAATACTTTTCTTTAACTTTGATGGGCAAGTTGGACAGAGTTGGTGGAAGGACTGACTGAGATAAATGCAAGTAGTAGCTTGAAAAACAAATAAACTGAAGATCAACCTTCAAGCAGGAGAGACAATAAACATACAGCTAAATCATCACAAGAGTAGCTTAGATCAAGACCTTATCCTGTGTTAGTATGGCCTTGTCAATGTCCAGGGCTAAATTTAGCTGAAAGTCTGTGGCAAGATCTTGTTTAAATGCCATGAACTTAATGGAATTTGATCCAGCTATGACATTCACTGGGATTATTCTGTAATTTCCCTCTGGGATTATTAAAGTTTGTCTGATTCTAATTTCTGATTTGTTGCTGCAAAAAATGGCCAAAAAAATAAATTCTCTGCAGTTAGACATAACTCTCTAGTGGTTTAACAAACCAATTGGCTCAGAGGGAAGAAATGCAAAAATATCGATTTTCTGATTTTTATTGTATAGAGGTTTGAAAATAATGCATTTATTAATGACGTTGTTATACCATATAAGACCCAAATAAAGTACACTGATGTAGTATGTGATTGCAATGTAACAAAAGGTGAAAAGGCCGAACAGATTAACATTTTTGCAAGTTCCAGTATACGAACATCCAGGACTGGAAGTAAAACATAGAAAAAGGTCGACTAAGTAGGACATTAAATCAATTATGAAGATACCTGATTTGTTATCAAATTGAAACAAATGTATTTTACATGATTAGTTTTCCAGCTGCCTTGATCATTCTCTCTACAGAAACAAGGGAAAATACCAAACAATATCAAAGACCCAACAAAGTAACAACAAGCCAGACAGTCTACAGAGATGCTCCACTGTTACAGAAAACAAAAACAGAAGACAAAAGCACGGCATTGGATGATGGAGATGGGGTGAGTGAGGACAGGTCCAGCAGGTACTAGGCTCCGACTGTTTGTCTCTGCCAGCCTCTCTTTGAGAAATGTTCAGTCTTGTAGCAGCTGCCTTCAGAGCTACAGCAGATTTTTGGCAGCATGAAGACAGATCTGAATAATATTTCTTTAGCTTTTACATTATTAATGCATCTGGAGCTAGTTAAAAAGAATCCAACAAGTTTTAGCTTATAATCGTAAATATCTTCTAAATAAATGTAATAATTCATAAGGTAATACTGGAGGTATTATGTGTGTAACTTGGAGTTAAAGCAACTGTTTGTAAAGCTGTAGAGGGCCTTTTTTTTTTTTAGAAACTTCCTGTCAAATAATTATAAAAAAAAAAAACAGGCTGAAGCTCTAAAAGTTCAGGAGAAATCTCAGCTGATGCTTTCAGTATTTTCCAACCCGAGTAGTGACTGTCAATCCACCATAACAAGCACACCATTAAATGTGAAAGTCTTTGTAAAAACACTTGCAGAGAAAGAAAACGACAGAGAGAGAGAGTCCTCTGCAGGAGAGGAGCCTCTCAGGGCAATTTGTGGTGTGGGACTTATCCAGGCAGCAAGGTTAGTTAAATGTGTCGCTTCTCTACGATCCCTACAGTTCCCCTTGGAGCTCTGCTCAATCTGTTGGGACTGCTGCAGTGCCTTCAGGTCATCCAGTCACTTATCCCAACAGATCCAATGCTCAGTCAGATGTGCTGTGAAAAAGGCTGGACACAAGTTCTCCACAACTGGTGCTATCATAGCATAACATTAAAGCTGTGGCATAAATGGCTTTCAATTAACTAACGTAAATGTCTGATCAATTTATTACACTTTTGGTCAACAGTTGGGTCGTATATAAATTTAACTTCACAGAATCATGCAAAAACCAAATATAGTTTTTCATACAGAGTTTTAAGTATGAATGATGGAAACTCCAGAAGCTCAAACCAGCTTTGGAACCACACATTTGAAAGGTATTTGCTTAAACCAATTAGAAGTTTTGGTCCATGGAGTGTAATTCCTTTATGCTTTTCCACTCTGTATGATTGCTCACTTGGGGGCAGTGGTCGCTACAAGAAGGCATAATTATGTCAGAAAAGTAAATAACCTGTCCTACAATAGACAATAAAAAAAAAAAAAAAAAAAAAAAAAAAAAAAACGACTGTTTTATTTGGTTTTCAGGAAATTCAAAGAGTAAATTCAGTGATATACATAAAAGGGTTAAACTAAGGATTGTCAGTACAGTAAGTGTATTTAAGTGGAAATGTTTACTTAACATGCATCACACCCCAGTATGAATGCTGCATAAATTAGCCAATTAAATATAAATATTGTGCCCAGCAAAACTGTTTAACTTTGCCTACAGCTTGTTAACAAATGCTGTTTAACCACAGGGTGGAGCATCATTCTATGATGCATTCAGGTGCAGTCCAAGATCAGATGATTATTAAATGATAGACTTGTTGAAACAGCATAACTGAACTAACATTAAGATTAAATGTTTATTTTTTTATTGATTTAGAAATCTATATTAACAGATTACAATCCCAGCCCCATCTTTTCAAACCAAGTAAGTATTATTTGGTGTATCTAATGCATGCTGTAAAGGACATATTTGTTTTAGTGTTAAAGAAGTACAGAAAGTAGGATGGTTAAATGCAGTAGTGGGTATATATTTTCAGTCTTGCAGCTTTCTGTTTTCCCTAAAAAACTAATCTGACCCAGAAATGCATAAGTGCTTGAGGCAGAGAAATGTGGAGCAGCTGTGAGTGAGGCATGGGGGTGCGTACTGTGTGCTGCGGTACAACACTGAAGAGGGTGGATGTTTCTGACAAAAGTGTAGCACTCCTTCTGCCCTGGTTCACATATTTGTGAATAACATTGCCTGGGGAAAAATTGGAAGTGTGTCAGCTAAGAGCGAATCTGCAGATTGTCAACAGTTTTACGTGATAGGTTTTACTGATGGGAGATAAACAATCCTGGAGGCGAAGGGGGGAAATTACCTACATGCTAAATGCATCATTCTGCAAGCGAGGTTGTAGTCTACAACAGATCTTATATTGCATTTGTTTTAACTAGAGTTTAATTAGACTTTGTTCCATAAAATATACATATATTAAACATATTATTTACAGCTGACAATAAACACTGTCAGTGGTTATAGAGCTTGGTTATATTTCTTTTCTAGGGATATTGTCCCTATGTCTGCTTTAAAAAAAAGTCATGCAGCGATTTCATAGCACTATGATTACATTTTGATCAGTGGTTAATGAGGAGTAACCCAGTTAAATAAACAAAGATGTCAGAAATGAGGGAAACATCCCACTTATGGCTTGCTTATAAATAAACTAACTGTTCATTATGACAGTGGAGCCCATTGCACATTCATAATGCAATGAGAGTCAGTATTTTAGGATATTTAATTATTTACTTAAGGTAAATTGTGTTTTTTTTTTTTTGTATTCTAATGATATCTCAGTCAGCTTGCAGTGTTAGTTGCTATTCAAATACTACTGGAGAAGTTTCTCACTCAGCATTCAAAGGAATGAAATGGGATGTAATGGGAAGTGAATCAAGTGGCCACTGGAACTGCACAGATTCAGTACTGAAGCTTTTCTGGATAATTTCAGCAGCCTTCCTGTTATACTTGCTGTGGAGGGGGAGTTATGGAAGTATGAATGGTTGGAAGGTGGGAGTGGGGATGAGTATTTGGTGAAATAACGGGACTGTGGGGGACAGGCCAGGACACGTAGTAAGATAAAATGTTGATCTTTACTGTGGGTGCTGGAGGAGGGCTGACCTCTGGTGGTTGGCAGCATGTCTGAGAGGCCCTGCCACGCCGTTACCATCTCTGGGTTCTTCTGGTCAGCAAAGTTCTTCCAGACTCGCAACGCTCCGTCATCTGATGAAGCAGAGAAGTGGAGAAATTAAAATTCAAAGAGAAGACATAGCTCTACAACTAAATCTCAACAGATTAAAATATAACCAATAAAAAGACTTCATGTTATATATCTTCATTACACACAAGGGAATACTTTTGTGGTGGCCTAGTAGTTAGGGTATAGAGCTTGGAATCCTGAGGTTCTGAGCTTGAGCCACACTCCCACAGACTGCCACTCTGGGTCCCACAATGCTCCCCAGGCACCGCACAATGGCAGCCCACTGCTCCCCAAGGAGAGGGGTAAAAAGCGGTACAGCACAGGTGGCTCATCTTTTTGGACAGGAGGCTGCCAGGAAAGGGGGTATGAGACATGTGGCAAAGGACCACAGGTTGGATTCAAACCCAGGTTGGCCACGTGGAGGACTAAGGCCTCCACACACTGGTTGTGTGCACTAACCACTGCACAACCAAAGCACGCCCCTGAAAATGAAACATTCAGTATGTAGGAAAATTACAACACTGTAGTATGCAAGATTAATAAATCAACTGATCTGTAGCTGAATTACAGTAAGAATAAATGCTTCAACATTTTCAAATGCCATTGTTAAATAAGTTGGCTGTTTACACAGTAACAGTAAGAATATTATTGGAAAGTTGTGTGGAACAGACATAAAAAGAGCAGAAGAGAAGGGTTAGCAGAATTAGGCTAACAAGAAAATTCAAAGTTTTCTTAAAAACTTGCTGAAAGCAGCATGTTTGATCTGCCCAAGAATGAAACTTTATGTAATTTAACTCTGTACATAACAGCCTAGTAAACTATTGGACCAAGAATAAAATCAAACCTTAGATTTACAAAAGTAATATTTATGTTATGATAGCTCATCATCATAAGCTAAAAAAAAAAAATAAGAAAAAAAAAGATAAAATTGCCCAGAGAGCTGTTCCAAATGAAATTTCTTTTTGTTTTACACTGGTGTAAACAAAATGACAAATAAAATCTGTCTAAGTCTCTAAGTCATAAGCAACCTTTTATATGTTTTTTTATTAATCACTTTGACCCCTTTGTTTGTTTGTAGGCTATTACTATTGTTGAAATGATTCGGTTCCCTTTTACCGTTCACTCAGGTCTTCTAGTCCAGCATTTTAATTGCTCTACTACCTGCTTCTATCATGTTTTTATCTTTATCTGCTTTTATTTTCCTTCCATTTTATTATTTAACTCATTTCAAACACTTTTAATTTGTCTTTGTTCTGAGCTTTGCTAAATAAATACACGTGCCTTGCATTACCAGAGGTGTCAAAATTAGATTTAGTGTTAGTTTTTTTTTAAATATATATATATTTTTTTCCTTACACTGATAGGATTCAGTCCTGTAAAGAATAAGCTTTTTAGCATTGAGCTGATTTGGCTTACTCTCCGTTTCCTTAGTAACGGGTAAGGGATTGTCTGGTGGACAATTGTTTCATAGGTCCTACAATAAGTTTGTATTCATTTTTTATATGACATATTTTTCCACACAAAGTTATGTTAAGTTTTCATTAGTTATGACCACTGTTGCATGGATACGAATACCAGTACCGGGCGGGGGCCCGGATCCAGCACTAAAATGTTGGTATCGGTAAGTAACGACAAATTGGGCACCGATACCATTTTGAGAGCCAAAAGTTTATTCAACTATTGTCACCCATTCCAGGTAGGCAATTAAAAGTTCTACTGGATTCACTTTGTTTTAGTTTTTTCCTGCTTCACAAAGGTAGGCAGCAGCTTAAAAAAAAAACAATCATGGTAATTATTTTACATCCAAGTAGTATGCAGTTCTTCATATATACACACACACATCAATTTCAAACAGATGGTATCAGCCAATACTGCACAGCCAGGTATCAGTTTCAGCGCAACACTAGTTATGAGCCATAATCACCCAAAGCAAGAACAAAATAAAACATAAAAACATATAATACTTTGTGTAATGAATCTATGTTATGAATTAGGTTTCACTAGAAGTTAATTTTTCACTGAAGTAATTTAACTTTTAAATATCTCTTTTTTCCTAAGATGCCTCCTTAAAGTGTGATGAAGTCTTCAGGGGATCCACTTATAACTTCTCTGAACTTTAAACATCACCAAGAAAGTTATCCAGAGTAACATCTTAAAACGCTGTTTACCTAAAACATCTTGAGAGGAAAAAAAGGACCGAAGCCTTACCCTAAAAAAAGCTCTGCAGCTCAAACACGACTAAGCATAAAACATATCCACTCGCGTCTAACAGAAGGTTATTACAAGTTATAAAAGTTCTCCCTGGATTTATGCTCATTGCTTTACTTGTTTAATGCAGTATCTGTATGAGAAATGGTATCATTCACATCCTGACTGATGGAGAAAAGCTCAGTAAGTTCACATTACTTTTTGATGAGACCGAATTTAAAAGCATTAATTGCTGGGCATTTTTGTAACGTGAAGCCTGCAATTACAGGCGATGTTTATTCTTAGTTAGATTGATGCTGTTAGAAACAAACAGGACAAATGAGTTTTAATGCTAAGCATTATGAAGATAGAAGAAAAGATGGCTATAATGGCTGTGCAATATCAATACTGAATACAGAGAATTATACACTATATTGCCAAAAGTATTTGCTCACCTGCCTTGACTCACATATGAGCTTAAGTGACATCCCGTTCCTAATCCATAGGGTTCAATATGACGTCGGTCCACCCTTTGCAGCTAGAACAGCTTCAACTCTTCTGGGAAGGCTGTCCACAAGGTTTAGGAGTGTGTTTATGGGAATTTTTGACCATTCTTCCAGAAGCGCATTTGTGAGGTTGCACACTGATGTTGGACGAGAAGGCCTGGCTCTCAGTCTCCGCTCTAATTCATCCCAAAGGTGTTCTATCGGGTTGAGGTCAGGACTCTGTGCAGGCCAGTCAAGTTCATCCACACCAGACTCTGTCATCCATGTCTTTATGGACCTTGCTTTGTGCACTGGTGCACAGTCATGTTGGAAGAGGAAGGGGCCAGCTCCAAACTGTTCCCACAAAGTTGGGAGCATGGAATTGTCCAAAATGTCTTGGGATGCTGAAGCATTCAGAGTTCCTTTCACTGGAACTAAGGGGCCAAGCCCAGCTCCTGAAAAACAACCCCACACCATAATCCCCCCTCCAACAAACTTTACACTTGGCACAATGCAGTCAGACAAGTACCGTTCTCCTGGCAACCGCCAAACCCAGACCCGTCCATCAGATTGCCAGATGGAGAAGCGCGATTCGTCACTCCAGAGAACGCGTCTCCACTGCTCTAGAGTCCAGTGGCGGCGTGCTTTACACCACCGCATCCGACGCTTTGCATTGCACTTGGTGATGTATGGCTTGGATGCAGCTGCTCGACCATGGAAACCCATTCCATGAAGCTCTCTGCGCACTGTTCTTGAGCTAATCTGAAGGCCACATGAAGTTTGGAGGTCTGTAGTGATTGACTCTGCAGAAAGTTGGCGACCTCTTCGCACTATGCGCGTCAGCATCCGCTGACCCCGCTCCGTCAGTTTACGTGGCTTACCACTTCGTGGCTGAGTTGCTGTCGTTCCCAAACACTTCCATTTTCTTATAATACAGCTGACAGTTGACTGTGGAATATTTAGGAGCGAGGAAATTTCACGACTGGATTTGTTGCACAGGTGGCATCCTATCACAGTTCCACGCTGGAATTCACTGAGCTCCTGAGAGCGACCCATTCTTTCACAAATGTTTGTAAAAACAGTCTGCATGCCTAGGTGCTTGAATTTATACACCTGTGGCCATGGAAGTGATTGGAACACCTGATTCCAATAATTTGGATGGGTGAGCAAATACTTTTGGCAATATAGTGTATTTATGATAGTGAAAATGCTGCTAATGGTCTAAAGGGTTCAGATATTTTTTTGTTGTGTAAATTGTTTAATGCCTCTTGCCTGTGGCAGTGAGCAGTAATGAGCAGTCATGTCCGTTCAGGTACTCCATGGCTGTAATCCGGGTGTAACGAGGGTTTCCGTTGTAAAAGTAGTCCAGCCTCTCACCCTTCTCCCAATCCCAGAAACTGGTAGAGACACAAATAACCAGGCTCAAAACAATCACATGTGAGACAGAGCCTAGCTCCACAACAATATTGCCTAAATTAATCTGGAAATATCTGCTGAATGCAGGCAGAGCGCTGCGGCGGATTCCTTGGATTCTCACCAGATGCTGTCCTTGTCGGCCACAGCAATGCAGGTGTTGAAGGGGTGAAACTTCACAACAGATGGTACTCCCGGGTTACGGTTGATGAATATTTGATCGTCTAGACGGGAAATACCTGCAGTAAAAAAAAAAAAAAAAAGGGGAAATCAAAAAGATGTGTGAGAAATGTCTTAAACCTCAAACGGTGGAACGGTTTATTGTCTGTAGCCGGTGCCTCCCATCTCGTATTTTCACCTGACGAGCAATATAATAGTTTCCAAAGGATCTGGGAAGAGGCAAGTTTGATAAATGCATCGAGTTACCGGGAATCTGTTAGTGCAGCACTGATGCATTACACAAAGAATATACATTTATCATAAAAAAATAGTATTGGTGGTTATGCTCCACAAGCTTCAGAAGTATTTCACCGTCTTCTATCTCAATAGAAACCCACAATAAATTCAGTAAAAACAATTGAGAATGTAATTTTACATCTGGAAAAAGTGAATATCATGCAGTCAAAAATTAAAAGGATACACAGAAAATATAAATATAGGTGTGTTCAGATAAGACACATTTAAAAATGTTACTACTAAAGATTCAGAAATATGGAAATGGGTGCAGAAGTCAAAGGGTAGAACTAATAATCTGAAGATCCTGCCAAAACACAATGAAACAGCTACTATATCTAAATCTATGCTTATCCCAGGTAGATATAAAGCAGCTCGGAATTTTATGGTGTTTATTTTGACTTTCTGAATTCCAAGTCTAGCATTTTTGTCTTGCCCAGTCATAGTCCTGACATGAATGACTTTAATTGTGTTAAGGTCTCCCAATGATAATTGAGGCTTATTCTTTTTGATGTCTTACATTTGATTACAAATAGTGAGGCGGAAATGTTTCTTATTAGGTAGGAAAAAAATCCAAATACAGCTGAAGAATGCAGTTTTAAGAATTCACTGGTGTCTTAATTTAAGCCTGAGAGAAACATTGACCTGAATGAGTGAAATTTCATGTGACGGCCAACATAACCCTTAAAGTTGGCTACTTCATGAACACTAAAACATCCCTGCATAGAGCGGAGGCTCTACATATGTAAATAGGTGAAGCAAAAAACGGAATCAGTTTCTAGCTTTACCCTCTTCTTCTCTGCCCTCAGCCTTCCTCTATCTTTGCACTCCTCCCCGTTTTTGCACAGTCTTTCTCAGGAGGGAGCCGACTGAATGAGGGCAACCCTTCCATTTGTTAGAAAAAAAGAAAAACTGGGGGGAATTCAATGAGGGAGCAGGCATAAAAAGAAAGGGAGCGGCGTGAACATGAGCAACACTCAGCTCTGACGCCAACCGCCTCATGACTCTGTGTGTGTGTGTGTGTGTGTGTTACAATGGGCTGCCAGTGACGTCAGGCTTGTTAGTTATTCTGTTTGAGAGTGATATAGCTTCACAAGAGGAATCTGTGAATGTGCTGCCACTCCAGGCTCTGAAACGGGTCTGTGGGTGTGTGTTTGTGCGTATGAGGGGAGTCCTATGACTCATATTTTCGAGTTGCAAACATATATCCTCTCACTGCTGTGAATTATCTGCACACAATTTGCTCTGTTGTCACGTTTAGCTTTTTTTGAGCAGACATGAGACATGAAGCTAAGAAAATCCCTGAGGAACATCATGAAAAGTTACGCTTTGTTGCTGCATTGGAATGCAATGGTCTATACATCTACCCTCAACTCCATTCTGCAGACTTCCTAGTTCTGGTCAATTAATATAATAGTTAAAAAAACAACAAAGATTTGAGGAAACTAAAGTTTAAAAATCAGCCTCTAAGCATTGCATTTCCTATAAGCCTCCTTAGAATAATACTTTTTTTAGTGTCAATACATAAAATTGGTAATTGGATAATTGGCTAAATGAGAGCACATGCTATGGAGCTTGGCGCTTGTTGGAAATCAGTTCTTCTGCTTTATTAAAATGCTTAATTGTCAGTCTGTGTCCAAAGATCAATGACATTTCACGTGAGTTTGGACCAAAAGCCCAGATCTGCTTCAAATTCAGTGGAATTTAAAAGACTGACATGGCATGGATTGCAAAACCCGGCACAGATTATCAAACCATTAATTGTGGTTTCTCACAGGGTCTGGTGCTATCCCCATTGTAACTGTAATTGGTTAAAATCAAACTTCTGTAGGTGGGCACCAGTCATTGTTTTGACAAATCAGCTTTTTTCCTGAATGTCCCTCCGTTCCCCGAATAGATTAAATGAAAGCAGTACTAGATGGTCCTGGTTTGCCAGGATGGCATAATCTCAGTCTTCTTTCAGTTTGTGCAAACTCTTACGTTACAAACAATTCAGAATATATGACAGTTTTAAAGCATCACAGCTTTTGGGAGGGGAGCGTCTAAAGACAAATAAAATGGGGAATGGAGGTCACATGACGGGAGACCTGTGGCCTCTTCATCATTCCTTTTGCTCCTGTGTGAGGAAGGGCACCACAGGGGCCACCAATCCGGCAATAAACTTGCTGGGCTGGTTGGTCAAAGGTGGTGGCACCCCTTCCCCCCCTGACATTTGTAAATACATGTGCCATTTGTTCGAAGTTTAACCCTAGGGCTACCCTAAACCTCAGGATGGGAGCCTTCCCTGAAAAACCTTGGCATGCAGTTTTAATTGATTTTGAGGACATGGGGAGACAATAGAGTGAAAGATTGTAGATATTTGCTTGTTTGTGTTGACACTTTCACCAGGTGGGTTGAAGCCACACCCACCAAAACAGAGTCCGCCTGAGAGGTCATAAATTGGTTAATTAATGACCTCGTTACGATGTCACTCTTTCTATCCGTTAGGATAATGGGATGCATTTCACATCAGATTCATATTTTGGAATCAGACATAGATTCGGAGTAGCTTACCATCCAGCCTCTTAAGGGCTTGTTGAACAAGTGACTCGCACAATCAAGGAACAATTAGCTAAAGTTTGTGCAGACACAAAAATTACTTGGATGGACGCGCTAACTTAGGAGATGTTTTCCAAACGATCATCACCCACTGAGCGTATGGGCTTGACCCCTCACGAGCTTCTGAGAGGACGGAAAATGCCTTGTACATTGACCTTGTCCATCCAGTCGGGGAGTACCCCCACAATGGATGCTTCAGTCTGGGAGTACCCCCACACTGGATGTGCAAAGGGAGAAAGTAAAAGACTACATTCAACGGTTGCAGCCTGCTGTCAAGTTTTTCTCCCACAATGTACAGGAAGCCCAAACCAGAGAAACGACGGGAGAGTTCCCAGCATGGGTGGCACCTGCAGACTGGATACTGTATATAGAACAGTTTTCCAGAGGGCTTAGAAGGACCCCAGGTAGATAGGACCTTTTAAAGTGGTGAGTTCCAACTGTCACAGTGTGAGAGTTTGGTTGGACGAGGACCAAACTAAGGTGAGCAAGTCTTGGCATAGAGCACATTGCAGGAAAGGTGAGCCGCATTTGAAAAGGCACCTCAGAGAAATCAGAGAGCACCTGAAGTATATTATAGAGGACGTGACAAATCACGATGTTGATGCACTGTGAAGGGAGGGCATTCTGGGAGCTCCTGGTCGTGACACTCATGGAAATTCTCACCGTTGTGACATGGGGATGCAGGGTGAGTATAAATACATGGGTGAATAGGGCTGATGCTTGGTGGTACTGTGGTGGGAGAGTATTGTGGGGTTGGCTGCCAGTATATTGGAGGGGAAGGTGCGTTTTGGTTTCCCTGCTTTCCCCCATCCAGGTCATCCCTGAAGCTGACTGTCCAAGTGCTTCAGAGGGTGCTTTCAAGAATCATGTGAACAAACACTCCGTGGACCCATATGCGGATTCCCCAGTAGGGATTGATGCTATTGGAATACCAAGAGGGGTTCCAGATTAGTATTAACTGACTAACCAGATTGCGGCGGGTTTTGCGTCTATATTTCTTTGGATCACTCGTAATATAAATGTGGATTTCATAAATGATGTACACTACAACGTTCAACACTTGTCAAAATACACGAATGATGGATTTGAGGCTGTGCACGGCCAGCTTTCACCTCCCTAGTGTCCTATCAAAACAGGCTAGCCTTGGACATGGTCCTGGCTAAGGAAGGGGGGTGTGCAGTATTATTGGGGACAGTTGTTGTTCTTACATTCCAGAAAATACGAGCCCGGATGGATCACTCAAAAAAAGCTTTGAAAAGACTGAAATGTCTATCAGATGAGCTTAAATCACACTCAGGAAGTGATGAGCTATTATCAAGTATGTTTGAGTCATGGTTTGGAAAATGGGGGAACCATTTGGTAAGTATATTTACTTCCATCATTATTGTAGCTGCTGTGATAGCAGTTTGTGTGTGCTGTTTCACGCCTTATACTTGTGCTCTCATCCTCAGGTACATAGATAGAGCCATTGGTTCTCTTGATGGAAGCAAATTGGGTGCAACAGCCACCTACCAGATTCCACTGACACGTGTCGACCCCTTTGTTAAAGGAATATGAGTAGGGGGAGCCAGTGACACATTTTTGGCACATTTTTGGAAAGTAACATAATCAAACTCCATACATCAGTATTTACTATAGTTTGAATGAAAGTGTTTTGTAAATGTGCTGCTTGTATGTAATATTTACCTCTTTGTGTTATAACCCGACTCTGTCTTCTAACACGAGCATTCCTGAGGAACCTCCACTGCCGCTCCATCCTCACCTGACTCTCCAGGTCATGCTCCTCTGGAATCTGAGAGGATGTAAGGCAAGAACACAAACAATTCTCCTTGAAAATGTAGAACAACTGGAGGATATTTAAAAAGTACTTTGACAAAGACAATCAGCAAATTTGATTTGGAATGCTATCTCACTGTTTCTCCTTACAAGAAGACATTACTGTCAAAACCTTTGATATTTATTTTCTATACGTCATAAATGAGGAAAGTAGATTCAAGAAATACGTTTGATATAGAAAAAGAAATTGAATTGATCATCATCTGTTTATCTTTTTCTCAGCAGAGTGCAAACTGTTCCCCACTGACAACATAACAAAAACCATAAGGTCTTTTTTGTGTTATAGGATGATGGAATAAGATGGCAAATCATTATTATGTGATTAAACTTAACCACAGAGAACATTTGCTGAAATCCTTTTTGTGAATGCTGCTGGTATTTTTCCCAAAAGGGATGTTTGAATCTAATTACTTCCACATTCATTTACTTTATCTAAAACATGCTTATAAAGCGCCTAAAAGTAAATTTTATTAAAATATTACATAAAAGGTACCACAGCGTTCTCTGATGACTGGGGCACTGCAATAGAGGCATGTTTGCTGAATAATAATATCCTCAAAAATTGCTATTTCATTTGACTTGTAATCCTCTAAAATGTTAATCAGGAACTGGCTGTCAGAAAGGACTTTTCAAGTTCCACATTTCAACATTTGACTGAAAAAAGATCACAGTTGTCTGACTGAAGAATCCATGTTTGAAAAAACCAAACAGTGTTTCAGTGCAAACAGTAATATTAACCTGTTGAGCCCACAAGGGTTACGAAGCAATTTCCTGTTTAAATGACATAACTGAATTAAATCAAGGACAGCTCTGCAGATGTAAAGGCGTAATGCAGCTCTTTGGTACCAGCATAAACGGAAGAGAAAATAAGAACTATTTTAATTGTTACTGTGTCAGATTTATTTGTGATCATACAAAAAAAAAGCACAAAAAAAAACAAAACAACCACCACCAAATGTTTAAGCATCAACCTAACAATAGCTCTAAATAAATAAAAAAAACGACACTATGAAAATCCATTTGAAACCCCTCACATTTTATTAATGTTTATTTATTTATACGGCATATTTCAATAGAAAGACAATTCAAATGCTGCACATGAGAAATAAAAAAGAGAAGGAAAAGCACATAGCAGTGGGATAAAAGTAATGGGAATAATAAAAGAGAATAAAAATGTATGATCAAAATATCACTATATAGAAAGTTTTAGATGACTGATAACAAATAGGGGACAGTTGGACTGAAAACTAAATTATTCTTAAAAAGCAAACTCAAAGGCCACTCCGCAGAATTAGCATTTATTCTAAACATTAAGCAATTTATGGTTTAACAGTTTTTTGGGAGTTAATTCCAGATAAATGGAGCATAAGTACTAAAGGCTGCTTTACCATATCTGGTTCTGTGTATGCAGAGCAGGTTTGAGCCAGACGACCTGAGAGGTCTAATATACTGACTGCAAGATATTTTGGTGTTAAGTCATTCATTGGTTTATAGACTAGAAGAAGTATTTAAAGTCTATTCACTGAAAGAGGGGGAGCCAGCGTAGCCAGGCCTTTAGAGCTGGGATGGTGTGCTCCATTTTCTAGTTTTAGTGAGGACGCAGGCAGCAGCATTCTAGATCCACTGCAGCAGAGCTATTAAGACATGAATGCATAATCATTTCTATTAAAGATAAAAGAAAAGCCTCAGAAAAGGCAGATATATCCCAGAATGCTTTGTGCGGAAACTCTCCTCACAAAGCATTATGGGATTTGCTGTTACAGCGGCCCACAGCTGCCATAGGCTGTCGCTACCCGACAGCAGCGACTAATGACAATGATGGCGCAGTGGACAACAGGGAAGTGATCATCTGTCCTAACGGTAAGTTGACTGAGTTCACTATATAGTCCCCACTCTATCTAGTCATTGAGGGATAGAGTGGACGTTGGGACACAAGCTTACTGGGACACGGGGAGCTTGTATGACCTATGAGAACAGTAACAAGCATGCTTAGTGTGAGGCAGATGGCCGTTCACACTGAGCCTGGTTCTGCTGGAGGTTTCTTCCTGTTAGATAGAGTTTTTCCTCCCCACTGTCGCTACAAGCATGCTTAGTGTGAGGGATTGCATTCGAGTGAATGAGTCGATGCAATCAACTGGTTTCCCTTAGATAGAAAACTTTGAATCAATGTGACTGTATGATCTGGTTGAACTGTAAAGTGCCTTGGGATGACATGTGTTGTAAATTGGTGTTATATAAAGAAACTGAATTAAACTGAATTTGTAAACAGAGCGTGAACAGAACGAGACATGGGTTCATGCATGCGCATTTTTGGGTGGGTCTTTAAAAAAATAAAATAAAATAAAAAAATCGAGAAAAACCTCCAAAATACCTTTAACATACCTTTTGTGGACAGTGTAAAGGGCACAGCTGTCATTTCAGCACAATTTAGCCAAATTTGTTTTTCCCCTTTAATATGAATCTGGATAAATAGTCCTGAACATAAAACAAAAAATAACTGGAATACATTTTGCATAACAAAAGTGACTCCAAAGAATGGATTTACAGCAAAAAAAAGTGTTTCATTAAACCTACATAAAATATCTACTCTAAAATAACGTACTTGTCAAGATGAACGAATAAAAGTATTAGATTTCAAATTTCTTAAAATAAATAGAGGACAGAGGAAAGATGTATGTTTTTGGTTTTTAATTATACTGTAGCAGCCCATGGGTGCTTATTAAGCATCTTTCTACTGCAAAGTCTTCCCCCCTGAATGCAAAACAGCCCCAACCCACAACTTTAACACAACTTGAACATACTAATACTGCCTGTTATCAAAATCCCTCTAACATTTAGACACATGCGTGTGTAGCTTTAAAATAAAATGTGCGTAAAAGCTCTTGGCCATGTCAGATGGCTCATGAATACTTCCTTAGGGGCTTTTTGACTGCTAATAAAGTAATAGAGGAGGCAGGTTGAGTATACTGACGTGTTTTCCAAACTGAGAGAGAAAATGAGTGAGGCTGTGAGGATCATGTCAAGGTAAACGCCTGCTCACTGTGCTGCTTCCAAGGCTGATGCCCTGCTGCATGTCAGCAGCTAACGGATTGTATAATGAGACCCTCAGGAGATTGATGACTGTTAGAGTTAAACACAATAGATCTGTAGTAAAATACGTATTGCATGACGTGGCAGCTACTATTAGAGTATTTGTCATTCTGGTGAAAAGTTTTCATTCTCTTATCAGGGGGACAAATGACTGAGTTTATAGTGGATTTTCTCTGATTTACAGTGGGGAAAAATCTGTTATTTGTTTAAATATAAAGACTGTGTTAAACGTTGCATAATCTTGAGACTGTAAACCTGTAATTCACGATACTTCTTTATTCTATAATGCTAATATGACTACGAAGAGAAGAGCTTCTTTTTTCTGCCATGTGTCAGAGCTGGTTTAAGCAGCTGAGGAGAAAAAAGATAAAGGTCCTTTTCCACGGTAGCTTACTGAAAAGGCTGTTATTCACCGATGGTTTTTGGGGGATTCCTACTGTTTTTATGTATAAAAACATTCATTTATTTATTTGGAACAAATATCAATACTATGGTTAAACACAGTTTTCTTCATGCAAGAGGAATTACATTGAATAAAATGACAGAGGCCTTCATCGTAAAAGCTTTGATATTCTTGTTTTTCCCTGACATCTACACAGGGCCAAACTGAAACTTACGTGCTCATATTTTCTTTATTAATTCATATATGAAATATGTTTTAATTGCCAGACCATAAAGCCTCCTAATGACATTTATACAGCCCATGTTGAAAAGCTGGAAAGTTGACTAGCCTGATGCTGCCAGTTAACAGTACGACACATTTGGTTTTAAAAACATTTTTAAAAATTGTGTTCCTTATTTTCTGATGCAGATTAGCGACTGCTGAAAGAAACCAATGATAAGCTGGGATCAAATCAGATGATGATTTATCTTGAATCCCATTTAAGATGGCACTGATTCTGGCTGGTCATACAAATCCTCCAGACGCTTGTTTACGTTTTTGTGGTTTGTAGTCATTGGGAGTAACAGAGGTACACAATAATAATTATTGGTATGGCACTATTATTTAATTCCAATAGTAATTAATTACTTTTCAAATAACTGTAATGCTGTTACGTTACTTGCAACCTAACGCAGTGCATTACTTTTCTATAAAAGTGACTTTTCATAAGCTCTCTCTCGCTGAAGCAGGGAGGGAATGTTTTTAGATTATTCACGGCAGAGATGTAGTAGGGTACCTAAGAAAGCAGTATCAATGATGCTGATTGGCTGAGGGTGTACTGTGGGCAGGTGTTCACCATACCTTTATTACTGCTTACAAAGACTGAAGAGGAAATGGAAGACAGTCCTGCAGAATCAGTGACAGTGCTACTAAAGGGTAAGAGCTTGCTTAGAGCTCAGGGCTAAATGCTCCTGTGATTTGTTAATTATGTCAGAAAAAAATACTTTACCCATGTTGGTGAGAAGCCACTAATTCAGTGAACTGCCTCACTTCTTCTCATCATAAATGACAGACTGACAACTGGCTGGCTTAGTTTATAAACACTTATACCTCTTTCCTTTTTCAAAGTTATATTCTACCTTCAGTTGTTTGTTTCATAAGTTCAATTTTACAGGGTTCTTCCTCATTTATAGCCCGTTAAAGCCTGTTCTAAAGGTGTAGACTAGTATGCAAAAATATGTAATCATTTTTAGTCATCAGTTAATTGACTTTTAATTAATATTACATATCTTAGATTTTATAACTGGACTCCTAGTTGAGGTTAAAAATTCAAATAACTTCTTAATTATCCAAATCATTTGAATTTTTAGATTATCAAAAGTAACTGCATAGTTACTTTTCCTAGTAAGCAGTTTTCTTAATTGTGCTCCAACCAACTTACCATGACAATTACTTTTTGGGATAGGCAACTAGTAACAATAACT